AGAAAATGGCTTTGTTTGGGTCTCTAGTCCAATAATCACTGCTTCTGATTGTGAAGGAGCTGGCGAGCAATTCTGTGTTACTACATTGGTATGTATTGTTGATTTAATATGTCACATCATCTATGTGGTCTTCTCCAAAATTCCCAATAGGTGTTCTAGTGCGATTTGTGCCTTGTCTCTTCACATTAATTACCTCTTCTAAGAACTTAGAAAGGGAGGAAAAAAAGAAACAAGCAACAAAGCTCTGAACATGGTTGAGGGCTAAGAGGATGATGCATTGAAAGATCAAAATTCTACATCATGTTACTTTGCATTGTCATATTGTTGTTTAGACTCTTAACACAAAGCTTTATAGCTTAGTCTACTTCTAGTCTTGTTAGTCTTGCAGAAATAATGCTTTTATTTGTCTTTTATTAGATATATAGATGGTTTCTTATGGTTAACTTTATCTTGACCTCTTTCTTCTTGATTAGTTTTTTTCTTGCTACTGTGCATATAACTTTGCAAAATATACACGTTATTTGGTTCTTTTCAATTCGTTCAGATCCCAACAATACTTCGTTAGATTCAAATATCTTAGTAGAACTTTCCTTATATTCTTTTTTATGAAATATCTCGTGCTTTAGTAAGATGTTTGTTTGCCAAACAGATTCCAAACTCCAATGAAGGTGGAGATTCACCAGTTAGTGCTATTCCTACTACTGAGTCTGGTTCTGTTGACTGGTCACAAGTAAGTCAAATCATCAAACAGGGTGCTTTGCCCATTTTAGAGTGAATCTATTAGCTAGCAGTTTAAGAGCCTGCTTGAATTGGGCAGCTTATTTACATAATAATAGCTTTTAAGCAGTTTGTTAGTGTTTGGGTGAAATAAACAGTGCTTTTGGACTCTTGTTTTTAAGCCAAAATAACAAAAATAATTTAAAAGTTATAAGCCCATCCAAACAGGCTTGAAGTCTGTTTATATCCTTACAAGCAATGTGAACTTTTAAATTTCAGAAAGTTAATAGGTACATGCATTTGATGTTGGATTTCTGCATTAACTGTCTAATTATCTTTTGTAAATTGCATCCGTGTTGCAGGACTTCTTTGGGAAACGAGCATATTTAACCGTGTCTGGGCAACTCAATGGTGAAACATATGCTACTGCGCTCTCCGATGTAGAGTCTCCTTTCACTTTTTAGTTTCATATGCTACCTTCTCTGGCTTGTAATCATTTTTCCCAACTTTATCTTTTGGTCACAGAATCCTTCATGCTATTTTCTTCATTCTTTCATATTCTGACAATGTCAACTTTTGGTTCAGATCTACACCTTTGGCCCTACATTCAGAGCAGAAAACTCTAACACTTCCAGGCACTTGGCTGAATTCTGGGTAAGCTTATACTCTAAAACTGATAAAATATAGTAGAACTTCTTTGTATATTTCTTTCCATACTTGTGGGCAGAAACAAATAAAATGTTGACACTAAGTTCTTTTGTGTAAGATGATTGAACCAGAACTAGCTTTTGCGGACTTGGATGATGACATGGCCTGTGCTACTGCCTATCTCCAGTATGTAGTATGTTACCTTTCACATCTCGCTGTTCCTTAGTGAATATTTATTACTTTGTTCTCACAACTAGACTTTTGCATTGACGTATCTGCTTGAAAGGTGCAACATGTGTTGGAGAATTGCAAAGAAGATATGGATTTTTTTGACACCTGGATTGAGAAAGGGATCATCAATAGACTTACCGTATGAATTTCTATGATTTTGATGTGTTTACTTCTCAACGTATTCTCCACTCTGCTTGGGGTCTATAGTGTGCTCCTAATAGTTGGTCTAATTGTTGATCATATGCTCCACAGGATGTTGTTGAGAAGAACTTTGTGCAGTTGAGTTACACTGATGCTGTTGAGCTTCTATTGAAAGCAAAAAAGAAGTTCGATTTCCCGGTAGGTGTGCTTTTATTTGCATGCTTTCTCACATGCATTTTTTGGCCAGTCTCTCTCCATCCGTACTTCTGTCACTTTTCCTTAAATTGTAATGAGCTGCTTCTGCATATGGTAGGTGAAATGGGGATGTGATTTGCAAAGTGAGCATGAAAGATATATCACCGAGGAGGCTTTTGGTGGTTGTCCTGTGATTATTAGAGACTATCCGAAGGTTTAACTTCCTACCTGCATATTATGGAAGCTGTAGGGGACTTCAGATAATTGACGGTGTTCCATAATTTCAGGACATCAAGGCATTTTACATGCGGCAGAACGATGATGGGAAGACTGTTGCAGCCATGGATATGTTGGTACCTCGGGTAGAGTCCATAAACTTAGTCAATTCTTTACTTGTCATGTATATTTTCTCTTTTATTAATCGAACAAATGGAGAATAAATTGTTTTTTCATTAGTTGTTATTTATTTACACTAAAATAGACATCTCACATCAGATAAACCACCTCTTTTACACATAGCTGTTTCCTATTTTTATCGTCTAGATGAGACATGGAATCCTACATTTAAAGGATGGTCGTGGATACCATCTCCCCACCCTCACCCATTATCATGAGATGGGCATTCATGCAAAACCCAATAATATTATTCATAGCATGAAATGCTCGTGTATGAATCTGAATCCTGAGCAAAGTCAATGTCTTACAGGTTGGTATTGCCAGGAACCCACTGACATTTTTCTTTTGTGATGCCTGCTGGATTGTTAACTGTTGTTTCTAGGTGACTTAGAGGTCCAGATTCCATTTATTTGATAAAGTTGAACAAGTCGAGGTGATGGACAGGCCTGATGTATAATATTGTTCTAGCTCAATCTCTCAAGGTTGTTTTCATCTTCAGGTTGGAGAACTTATTGGTGGAAGTCAAAGAGAGGAACGCCTTGAATACCTAGAGGAACGTTTGGATCACATGAACCTCAACAAAGAAAGCTTTTGGTGGTATCTTGATCTGCGACGTTATGGTTCAGGTGATTTGAGTTTGTTAAATAAATTTGGTGTTTTCTTGCTTGAATTTGTCATCATTCATAAAGTTCAAGAACTTTTGTATTGTAATGCATGCACCTTATTCTTGATCCAACTTTCATTTATTGCTAAATTAATTTTGGTTGCAACTTGCCTTCAAGTAGTTACCCCGCCTGCAATACCTTTAATTCGGCTCATCATTTTATAGTCTTTCATTTTTCGGCATAAGATTATAATTGGACATCTCCTTTTCTAATGCTGTAGTTCCTCATGCTGGATTTGGACTAGGCTTTGAAAGGCTCGTTCAATTTGCGACTGGAATAGACAATATCAGAGATGCAATACCTTTCCCTCGAACACCTGGCTCTGCAGAGTTTTGAGTTTTGACCTTAAAAGGGTACTACTCTTTATAAAAAATGAATCGGTCCAAAAAGGTGCAGTGTCACCAATACTACCTTCTGTAATCCTTTTTTTGTCTTTTCACTATTCATTCGTTATATAGATTTTGTAGAGCGTGTTAAAATGGTGGAAGTTATAGTCATTTCTCCGAAATAATTAGAGATATGGAACACACCAAAAAACTGTGTTTTTCATAAAAACTTATAAGTTGTAGGGTTCCCAATGTAATGGTGCCATTTATAATGGCTTTTTCCCCCTCTATAAAGCACTGCACGGAGTCTAAGAAAAAAGGAAAACAGCTTATGTGATTAAAGCTAGTTAACTGGTGAGAGTTGGAGAATCTAGTCTAACTGTGGTTTCACTGTCAAGTCATCAGCCTTTGAGCAAAAACTTTTTCAGTTACTTATGGGTCCAACATTATTAACTCATTGTTGCAGTAGCTGTGTTCATATATTATAAGGTGTATTTGACTCTGCATCACTCAAATAGCGGAGGTTTCTGAAGAGAAATTACGTAGAGTGTGTATCTTTACTCAAAAATACTAAAAGCTTGTGATTTGTAGCCCGCCGGCAGTTTAGTTTGTTATACACTAGCCGGAAACTGTTAAGAATCATAAATTATTCTATTTATCCTCTTGTTCTGTTTTGTGCAAAAGTTGAAATGAAGTCACAAGTTTTCCAGTTTCCACCCAACACTAAAGCAAAGAGAATAAAATGGGTTTCTGATATCCCACTTCCTTTTTCCTGATTTGTTGCCATTTCCACTCTAGTTTTCACTAGTTCCAAGCATAGGATGAAGAATTTCTATTTCTGCAAACAACTTGAGTATTCTCCATTTTTTCAAATGCTCACACAATTGACAGTTATTATCTCAAAAAGCCACATTTCTTTTCGATTCCAGTTTTTTCAAGTAGCAACCTATTAGTTGACTGATCATATGAGAAATCTAACTCTGATTAAGAGTCGTTGCCAAAGAAATCTAACAAGGAAGAAAATACTTCTCCGAACTCTCCCTTCCTTATTCCGTCTTTTGCTTTCACTAGTTTCAAGCATAGGATGATAAATATCTAGTTCTTCAGGAGCTGAACTCCTCATTAAAGGCTCAGTGCCAAAGAGATCTAGCATTTGAATAGTTTCCGGAGAACTGTTTGCATTTTATACACTTACAAGTAAGTAATTGGAATTGAAAAAATAAATAAAGATACAGAGAGGTTCTTTTAGCTCATAAGCTTCTTCAAAAGACAAATTGTGGAATTTATAGAACATCATTTTCTTTCAAACAACTTGCACAACTGGTTCTGGCTTCATGTTGGTGGACAAGTGGAACTAGAAATTATTTGGTAGGCTGGGAAAGAAATACATCTTTTTTCCTGTTGATCAAAGATTACAAACAAAAGCAAAGCGACTTGTACAGAACTCACTCACAGGGTTGACTATACATCTAATAGGAAAAAGGAAATAAAGATTAAATTTACTCGAAGAAGTAGAGATCACATTCAACTAGAGGAGCAGCAAAGAGGGGACCTTTGGCGAATAGCAAGAGTTTGATAGCTTGGAGATATGACGACAGTCATGCTGCATTTTCAACCAGCCTGGATTTCCCAGAGACTGAAATGTGATGAGCCAAATTAAGTCATCCTTTGAGCTTGTTTGGGTTAAGCTGTCCCTTGCCTGTAAGTTTCATCATCCCAAGATGCATCCACATGAGGAAGCTGATATTCATCAGGTTTGAGAGCCAACGCAAAGTCTGGCAGCGTTGGGGCTGTCTCCATGATCCTACAGCAATCCTCTTCAGGTATAAGTACTTTTTTCCAGCATGGAAACTCTATATTGGACATTGATTAAACTTAAAAAATGCATTAACTATTTCATTAAAAACTTCCCTAGAGACAAGAATATCTAACTCTTACTGCATTTCTACTCATTTTTGTAATTGGATGTCATAACTGCACATTTTTTTCATGTTTTATTTAAAAAGTCTCTTTAATTTTTAATTCTTATTTAGGCTCAACGGACTTGGTTTAACTTGCGGTTCAGCAAAAAGGATTTCCCTTACTATTACAATTCTGTACCTCATCAAAGTCAAGAGGCTACCTTGTAATATGTCAATCCAAATTCAAAATAAATACAAGGAAAACATGCTGTCCTCAAAACCAATATCAAATTTTTGCAATCTACTTCAGATAAGCAATTCTGCAGCCTAGTGTCATCATATCTGCAAAGCCACAAAAAGAAAACTTACTTTTCATAAGAGTACAAATCCCTGTTGATCCGCACCTTGCTCGAAGTGTCCTTTGGGATTTTCTCGGCAAGATACTTCATCGTTCCCCAAAGTGGAGGATTTCTGGATTGGCAAATGGAAGTCAGGCAGACAGATAAGAAAGGATAAATGTAATGATGGCATGCTACAACCAGGCAAGGGGGAGGGGGACAAAATCAGATGGGCTATCAGCAGATGGTCTTCCTGTCCACCAGCAAGCTCATTGTCAAAACATAGCTTAATGCAGTTTCTAATTCTAGATGCTTCTAGTGAAATATCAGTATAGCACATCAATGGGTGTAAAAGTTGCTCAAATGAAAATATGATGTTTCCCAGTCTGATAAATTTTGAGTACTAGACACTACTTCTACAAGTTAGTATGAATCTTTAAATAGTAAAGTCATCCTATTAAGTCTAGAAGCAAACTACTCATAACATTGCTTCATGTACACCGAAATTAAAACAACACTAGCTTTAGATACAGTAACATCTTGAGAAAACACATCCAAGGATATCTTCTTCTTTTTTTAAAATAACATCCAAGGGTAATTGATTACCATTTGAAGTTATATTTTGAGGTTCTGTTGAAAACAATGCATGCTCAAAGATATTTCCCAGAAAGATGGAAACACTAAGGATAAAAAAAAGAGATAATAACTGGGATACAGTACAAATTGATTAATAACAAGACCAGATGCACGAAACCTGTTGGAAGTCTTAAGCTGAAGATAAACTGAAGATCTGTTCCATCATCTGAGTCATTAGATGAATGCCATAACTGAAACTCTGCACTAACCTATCTGATTGGAAGAGTTATTTCCTAATCAAATTTGATAACTAAAGGAGTTAAACATACAGATAGGTTCCCAATATTCTTAATAGTTCTGGTCTCTATTATAGATTTGGTTTCATAATTAATCTATAGCCGAGCTACAAGTAGTTTTTTCCACTTTTTCTTTTCCAAAATAAGTTCTTTCACTGCATAGCATGTGATATAAAGAACTATAGGAAGTATAGGGAGTTGAAGAGTAATGAAGGGGGGAAAACTTTAAATGGATTGTCCAACTTTACCTGGAGAGAGGAATGGCTGCATTGAAAGCTTCACATGCCTTCTTACTTTCTTTCAGATACTCATCAGCTGCTTGCAGGGCAGCTACTGCCATTCCATGAGATTTTTCCGTATTTCCTTCGTCAAGGATTAGACCATGATAATAGTATGCTGAAGCCTACGCGGAATTTTATGTGTCATGCATAAACTTTGTAGTGAGAATAAGGTAATAGATATAGAAGGCAAAGAAGCTGCAGAAACATTGCAAAGACCAGCATGGATAAATGGATTACGAAGTTGAGTAGAGACATTTCTAAGTCTCCAAAACCCCTAAACTCTTAATCTTAGTCTCCAAAACCCCTGAACTCTGGAGAAATTCTAATCAAAACAGTCAAAATGGAGTAGAGACGAAAGCTTTCATGCTATGGCAGGGAATGTGGAAGAATCATAATTGCTTTATGCTATATATACCCATTCCATGACATACTTAAGAGGATTTTAGGTTGCAATTGAATAAGTAAAAACAAGAAAGAGAATCATAAGATACCTTGGCTTCAATATATTTCCACTTCACGAAAAACCTATGCTTTTCTCCCCAACCATTTGATAATGGAAGGTTCATGATGTTATCTTGAGCCTGCATGGTAACAAAAAAACAAAGTAGTTGATATCTCAGACACTATCTGGAGTAAAGTAAAACACAGCTTTATTTTCCTCTTTCTATTACTACTATGTTAGTAAAGGAGTTTAAAAGGACCAAGGACTCCAATGGAAGCAAATGATCCACAGAGCCAATGCCAACCATTTGAGAATAAACAAGTTACCCGTATAGCAATAAGTGTGGCATTCAGAGATGCCCATATTTAATTAGCATTGGAATGAAATGAACTAGATTATAGCAGAATAATATAGAGAATCCATATGGTTCTCTATCAAACAAAGCAAGTGAGTATGCTTTGGCAAGAGGATTCAATACCTGCTGCCAGTATTTTACCATCTCACAAGCAAGCCTTCTTTTGACAGCTAGTGTTGCTTTAGTACTGTCAATCGCAAGTCCTAGTTGAATATCAACAGCCTAAGATCACCGGTGACAGTAACATCAGATGGGGAAGAAAATTCAATCCATACAGTACACATTCTCTTAACTAGATATTCAGCAACAGCTGACAGTTTCATTCAACAATAACTATCAGCACAGAAAAGCAAATGGACAACACCATATTACAGCCAAAATAACAAGCATGTGTCTAATGCTCAGGGATAGATTGATATTAACCTGACATAATCTAAATGGCTAAAATGCACGAAAGTCCGCTGAATTTAGGTCACAAAAATTCAGATGATTCCTTTCACTACATGCACATTTCTATAACAGAAATTTTGCCAAATGGAGTTGTTTTGCTGCATTTAGATATTAAGCATGTACCCAGAAGATCCCCTTCGCAATTGTTCACAGTTATAACAATAAATCTTTGAAAATAGATTGCTTTTGCTGTTCATAGATACTAAACACAAATCTTGCACTTTGTTAGTTAGTGTGCATTAGAGTATGCTTCCATCCTTGAAAGCATAGGTAAGATTGTTTTTGCTGTCTCCAGATACTAAACACGTATCTTGCAGTTTGTTAATTAGTGTCATTAGAGTATGCTTCTATTCCTTGAAAGCATAGGTAACAGCATGTCAAGTTCCACTAACAACCAATGCAAAAGCAAAACTACACATTAGGACAGAGACTTCAAAAGTTGGAATATCGATATTGACAAGATAGCACATATAGTGCTAACCTTGCATGAACATTTCATGTTTCATTCCAGTGTTTATTGAGTCGATCCATGAAAAATATTCATTTCCTTCTTCAGCAAATCTGCTACATCTGGTCATAGATAATTTCTACAAATCCTATTGATTAATATAGAAATTCCTATAGTAAAGAGAAGCTGAAAAGTTCATCACTAGAAGAAGATTAATTTATTTCATATAATTACATCGTCCAAATTCATCCATAACAATCTCAGATATCATTGAGTACTCATTGATGCAGAAAGAGAGAATATTCAGTAGAACTTGGAGCAAAATATTGGTGTTATTTGGGCAATTTAAATTTTCAAATATGCAACCGAAACAATATATGCTATGAATGTGCTATTACCTGCCCTAATGCTTGGAGGCACAATGCTCGCAGAACTCCTTCAGCGAGGTCTACCGGCAGGTTTCTCCTAATTACAAAGCAAATAATAGTGAAAACCTAACACAAAACCTGACATAATTAATTTGAATTGCATAGGTATCAAAACCTTTGCTCGGCTGGCAACTGGGGAAGAACATTTCGAACTGCACAATCAAGATATCCAGCAGCCTTTAGGAAAATATCAACAGAAGATCGCCTGCTCTCTGTCAGATGTTAAACATAAAATGAGGAAAAAGAAAGAACCATTTGAAACCGAAGATACATGAGTTCCCAAGAGAAGTTTAGAGACTTCGCAAAAAACAAGTGTTATAAATTAAAATAACACGTCAAGACATTTATGTTGCATTTACTGTATCTGCAAAATTAAACATGGGAGAAATACCCACCTTCAGATACCTTTGGTGAATAACCATCAAGAGATGTTCTAGGAAGAAGCAGCAAGTTAGCTTGCGATAATGATAGTGTTGCCATCAAGTGCAAAACGGACAGTATTTCATACCAAGCACTAAATATTGCAGTTTCCTGAAATATTTTGACAAATAAGACAATTCTTCTTCATGGTGGCAAAACCACATAGAAGACTACACATGAAAAGAAAATATATTCTAGTCTGACCTCTGCATCATCCTCTTGATTGACCCAAATAAATTGCACTTTATGCTGTAATGTGCTACCTGAAAATGGCCAAGAAGACAACATCTCACAATTAAAATCAACAAAGTGAAAATGCTAACGAGATAGCAGCCAAAGTATTTACCATCTTTAACTAGCCCCAAAATAACAGGCAAGTAATCTTCGAGAGCCTGCAATAGATCAGCAAGGGTTGAACCTCCTGCAAGAAAAAGCTGCTATGCATCATATCCACATGTAAGGAAAGAAACAAAAACATGGTCGAATTCCGAAAGATATATCTATGCTTCTTCTGCAACTTACCATGCTGAGTAGCAGTTTTCCTTCTTGTCCTTGTAATTGTGGGAGCTTCTTGCCCTGCCATAACCACTATTCTGGTCCTGAGAGCGGAAAGGCGCTCCACCAGGGTTTTCGACAATTGATCACCAAGTGCAAGAGAGAAATCAACCGGCTTAGGGATACGTAATCCAGGAACAAATACAGACACCTCACCAATGTTTCCTGGCCGCCTTCTATTCCCACCAGTATCCTGCGGCGTCGAAAGAAAGCATCCCATATCCTAAAATTTTCTCGTATCTGCCAGAGCACTACCATAAATTACAGAATGGTCATAAGACAAAAATTATGTCAAGAAAAAATAATAACCACTATCATGAACACATTTAGAAAAAAATTTCTAACATGAATAACCCTGCAAAATCATCACAAGAAAATTTGGATGACTCAAGCTGGAGACTAGTCATAAAGTGAAATAAAATCACAATAAATGAGCAACCAACAAACAGTTGGCTGCTCACGAGTACTATCTCATAGAGGCATAGAGTGCTACTAGAACCATCTGTTAAGTCAACAAACTCTTATGTTAAATATGCACAAAAGGTATCTAAACTAAATATATATAAAAACAAACCAGCTTACCCTGGTTTTACAATCAGCAGATTAGGCAATAGGTCAATTTCTGTGGTAATTTCTGCATCAGAAGTAAAGAATATTCATGTGAGTATAGGTGCAAACAGGCAGTAAAAATAAAGAGGAAAAAGGAGATCACAAGAATTGCATGAAAAGTGACAGGTGCATTGGTTTTCTACAT